CTTATGGAAGCCGGAGATCTCCATGCTGGCCGTTATGATATCAATCAAATGCTTGGATTTTCCCCAACAGTGTGAAATGTTCCTTCTCTTATGCACCTAGCTATCCCAAGGCTATAGCCCTAAACAGGGGCATGATGGTACCAGTTAATCATTTTCACACATGCAGTCTCACTGGGGATTCACAGGTGCCTGTTAGCAGTGGCAGTAGTATTTGCCTCCACGCACATGATATTAGAAGGGTGGCTTAGAGAGCATGCTAGAGTTCTCATAAATGGGTTAGCTAAATTAAGATTTCATATCACAAACATTTCTTTTACTCCCTCAGGATCTTGATTCACTGTTTTAGGAATACCCTAGAATCTGCTTAACTCTCATTCTAGATAAAGCAACTGTGAATGGAGAGGTCTCACAGAACATATGTCGGTACCACTGGGCAGTCTCTCCAAAGATCCCTTGATTGCAGGAGGCTGGTAGAAATGGCTAAGCAATAAACCCTTGGAAGAGTGAAGGACCCTCCAAAGCAGCAAGAAAAGAAAGATGTTAGAGTCAGTGCTGATTTCTCCTGATTCACTAAGATGTGACCCACAAAATGTGGACCCACACATCTGCCCACTCATGCTCTCACCTTCGCCTGGTGGGATGGAGGGGAACAGGCAGGGGTATTCAGAAGTGGGAGGCTTCTGACCATGCACAAGCCTTCTAAGCATGTTTTCTGGCTCAGTCTGCAGAGCCACTCTGGTTCCTCAATGTCGCATGGTGGTGAGCCGAGCTCAATTTGGCAATAGGACCAAATGATCCAGTAAGGTAGCTAGTCTCCAGAGATAGCCCCAACAATTCCACCTCTCTCTGCAGGCACATGCTTCTCCTTACATTGAAAGGTGGACTTTATTTTCTCTTTGAATCTGGGATGACCTTAAGACTCCTTCTACCAATACAATGTGGTGGAAATGACATTCTGGGACTTTCCAATCCTATGCCTCAAGAAGGTTGTAAGTCTCTACTTTCTCCCTCTTAGAACATTTCCTCTTGGGATGCTCTGAGAGTCTAGCTGCCGTACTGGGAGATGCCCAAGATATATGGAGAATCCACATGGAGAACTGAGACTCTCCAACTGAGAGCTGAGCTCAGTAAACAGCCTGGGTCAATGTCCAGCCATGTGAATGAACCATCTCGGATGTTCCAGCCCAATCACACCTTCAAGTGTTTGCAGCCACAACCAAAAATTACATGTGTCAAAAGCAGTGTCCCGCTGAATGTAGACAACTCAGTTCATAGAACCATTAAAGGTAATAACATGGTTACTGCTTTAAGCCATGAAGTTTTGGGGTAGTTTATTACACAGCAAGAGATGCTGCCTTGCCAGAGGAGTATGATAGGCTAGAATTCCTTCTCAGAAATCTGTCTCAAATAGCTCTCATGAGTGTCTTGTCCTTGGCTGGCCTTAGGTGTGTGAGATCAGATGATCTAGGGCTCACATGAAAAAAGGGCCACCAAATACTAGTGATATAACAGCTGCAGTTTTTTTTTAATTTGAGATTACCTATTGAAGAAGATTAAGATCAAACAATGTAAGAAAGCCAAATTACTAAGCCTTAGCCTTTGAAATCCTCCAAAAGACTGACGTAAATTAAACATGGTTTCACAATGAAAAAAAAGTTACTGATTGGTCTTCTGTCTCAGTTCAAAGCCACACACAATTCAGCTCTAACAGGAAGAAAAAAGAGCCATAGTCCAACTGCCCAGACAAATTCTCAGGCTCTGTCTCTTTGGCCTTTGGTGTGTGTGCAGTGGGTAGACTCATTGTCTCTACTTTGTCCACAGAAACGCAGCATCTGACCCTGTAGGTGGCAAGGGCTTTAAGACTCTGATGTAAGGAACTTTGTATCTCCTGGTTCTGACACTCACAGGGCACCTGGTGGGCATGATAGCATACTGGTTACAAGCAAATATCTCCTGCATACAAATCTCACCTTTCACACTTATTAATTTATGTATGTTCTTTGAATCTCAGTTCCTTCATCTTTAAAATGATATAATAATTTCTCCCTCACAGTGATGATGTGAGGATTTAAGGAGACTTTAAGTGTTTGCAGATAAACAGAAATTTTCTAGTGTACCATTTTCATTCCTCTGCTGGTATTCTGACTACATTTTTTGAGATATTTTCTTAACATTTGTTCCAGAGATTACAACATTAACTTATTGCAATCTATTTCATGTTAATACTAACAATTCTGGTGAAATATAAAAACGTTCCTCCAATCCTTGCTCTATGGAAGAGATAGCTGCCAGCCTACTATTGTCATAATATGTTAGATCTTTATACAATACAGCTTATAACAATACTACAGTTTATAATTAGTTTATGCAATTATAATCATTTTATATCTTTAAAATCAGTTTAAAAAGAATAAATATATTTATATTTTCATATTTACCTATGTGTTTACCTTTTCTAAAAGTGCTTTTTATTTCTTCATATGGATCTGACTTATTGACTGCTGTCATTTTCTTCCAGCCTGATGGATTTCCTTTGACACTTCTCTTAAGGAAGGTTTACTAACAATGAACTCTCTTAGTCTTTGTTTATTTGTATTTATTTCACCTTAATCTTGAAACATCATTTTGTTGACTATGGAATCCTTGGTCGAATTATTTTTTCTTTCAGCATTCTGATTGTCATCCACTGCTTTCTGGCCTCCAATGTTTCTGATCATAGTCAGCTGTATTATTGGTCCTCATAAGTAATGAGTCACTTTTCTCTTGTTACTTTAAGGATTTTCTCTTTGTATTTGACTTCCAACAGTTTAACTGTAATGTTTCTAGATGTAAATTTTTTTTATCATATCTGGAGCTCATTGAGCTTCCTCAATATGAAAATTAATGTTTTTCATCAAATTTGGAAAGTTTTCAACCATTATTTCTCCAAATGATTTTTCTACCCCTTTGGAGGTAGTTGTAATATCTATGATATTCCATAGATCTCTAAAGCTCTGTTATTTTTCTGTTTTTTTTTTTTTCTGTTTCTCAGGCTAGATCATCTCAATTGGCCTATCTCCAAGTTCATTGACTCTTTCTACTGCTGCCTTACCCTGATATTGATCCTCTCCACCCAACTAGAATCACAGTCTCTGTCTGTGACATTTTCTTTCCTTGTTCCTTTGCCACTAAGATCACTTCTGTATGTGACAGTGCCTCAGGGTATGGTCTTTTCTTGCTCTCTGACCTATATTAAGTCAGCCCCTTTCAGCAGTGAAACTGCTAGTTTTCACTAGAATTTCCTCACTGATGGAGAAGGGATTGGAGGACAAGAACAGTCTTGGGCAAAACAGTACAGACCCTTGAATAAACTCTTCTCGATCTTTTCTATGTCTTTGGTTGATTTCTAGGGTTCTGAAATAGATGTTATTGACAGTTTTGCCCAATTTTTTTGTTGCTTTTTGCAGAAAGGATTTGCCAAGCTCCTCTTTTCTCCATTCTGGAAATCCTGCCCCTATACTAGCATTTTAAGGTTATTAATTTCAAGATTATGACTGTATGAGGCCTTTGTTGTGTCCACACTGTGGTAGGTAGTCCTTTGCTTTAGTGGCCTTTGCTAACTATCCATGGCTCCCAGTTTTCATGCCCTTGTGCTGTCTCTCCCACTTCAATCCAGGCTGGGTCTGTGACTTGCTTTAAATAGTGAATGCAATAGTAGTATCATTGTGTGAGTTCCAGACCTGGGCATTTAGAAGGACTGAAGCTCCTGATTTTGAGCTCTTGGGAGCCCTGAAGCACTGCCAAGTAAGAATTTCAGCTACCCTGCTAGAGAGACCATGGAAGAGAACATATAGTGAGTGAGAGGCCTTAAGACTATATGGAACTGAGGAATGTAGCTGACAGTGAGAAATGAAGCCTCGGAAATTTGATTCCAATAAAGCCACTTCAGCCAGTCCCAGCCATTCGAGACTTTCCAGCTTAGGCACCAGATAGATGAGTGGAGAAGCCATCTTGGAATTTTAAGCCCCAGCAGGCATCACATGGAACAGAGGTGAGCCATCCTTGCTATGTCCTATATGGATTTCTGAATACCAGAAGCATGAGAAATAATTAAAATTATTGTCACTTAAAGCTACTGAGTAATAAATAACAATTTAAGCGACAGATAACCAAAATACCCCGGTAAATTAACCACATCTGGCCTCTTGTTTCTTGTTTCAGCCCCCACACATCTGTCAAGGTTCAAGAGCCTCCTGATCTCAACTCATTTGTCCCTATCCAAGTTTTGTTGTGTTCTGAGTATGTGACCTGCACAATGCTCTGCAGAAAACCCTGCAAAAATAGGAACTTAATAAAAGGCTTCATGTTGACATTCACAGTTAATATGATCATGAGTCACATCAACTATTACAAGCTAGGAAACAGACCACTTTTCCCTCCTTAGTCATCACATCGCGTTGGCAGGTTCAAGGCAACACTTCAGTCTACACACCCTTCTAATACCAAAAGCCCTCACTGATAAAGTCTGTTGATTCCATTTCCGTCTGTGGGTTTTCTCAATTTTGAGCCTGTTTGGATTAAGGGCATTTTGTTTTCTCCAAAGCCAATGTGTCCTGGTTCAGATGCCTACTTACATGGAAGGAGCTCAGAGTCAACTGAATGAAGAGTCGTATAAGTTTTGAAAATCCTTGAACTTGATCATCAGTGATGAAAGAGAAGAGAATCTCGTGAACACCCAATAAAGGAATGAGAACCAGTGTCGATTTTGCCAATCTGCAAATGACAACCAAATAACTTTCATTAGGGCCACATTGGAAACAGGCAACATTTTCTGTTCTTCTGTGAATGCCTTTATTGAAGCTCGTATAGTTGACTTTCCAGTTCGTTTCCTTGGCTACACATAGAATGCCTTAAAGGCTAGTGTGGTCTTGTTCACTGATGTATCCTAACACCAGACTCATAGCAGATGCTCAGAAAACAACATGAATTGAATGAATGAAAGAATGAATGAGCCTAACACCAGACTCATAGCAGATGCTCAGAAAACATGAATTGAATGAATGAAAGAATGAATGAATAAATTCTCCCATATAGATTAGGATATACCTACGGATCTTAACATTTTGCCTGATGGTAGATTTTCATGCACATGGCTGTCACTCTGGGACACTATACCAAGTTTGACAAATATCCTATTATCTGGCTAACTGGTGTCTCTATCTCTTTTTCTACTCAGGACCTCTAATGTCAGTGCTTTATTGAGCCTAAAAGGGGAAAAAAATGGCTTGCCCAGGATCATACAGCCACTAAGTGGCAAATACCTGCCTGGAAGCAAGACTTCTGACTTCACACTCAAGCCCTGCATACTCTACTCAGAGTTTCATCATCAGCCCCCGTGCTGCCCCTCAACTCTGGTGATGGCAAGGGTTACAGGAAATGAGAAATTGATCCTCCTCATAAAAAGTGGTATGTGGAAGCTCCCTGTTGTATACACTCTACATAAAAAAGACAAACATTCCTTTGTACCACCCACATGCAAAGTGTACAGCTGGGGCCCAAACATTCCATATCATATATCAGTGGTTCCCAAACATGGCTATTTGACTCTTAGAATTTTTTACAGAGTTTATGTACACACACACACACACACACACACACACACATATATATATATACACATACATATATATGTATATATACATACAAACGTATACATACACATCTTCCTCAGCCCCAGTGACAACCCTCTGAATCTAAACCTTTGAAGGCTAGATCCCGGAAATGTGAATTTTTAAAGAATTCTCCATGGGATTCTGATAAGCGGCTACATTTGAGAACAACTGCTCTTTATCATTGAGCTGCTTCTTGATTTAAAACTAACTTGGCGATGGTGACTCATATTCAGGACACAAACAAAGCTACTATCTTATACACATTGGGGGGAAAAAGAGCTAATCGTAATGATTTTTTTTAGCCCAAGTCACTTATTTAAAGGGCCAGACTAAGAGGTTTCTCCCAAACTTTGTGGAATTAAAGACGTGGAAATATGGAGGGTCACGGGCAGCTCATGGACAGTGTCTTCAGGGAGGTTTAACTCCATCCAAGAGAAAGCAGCACTTACTGCAAATCCTGTGTCTGTGAGAGCCATTCTAATGCAATGGTTTCAAAACACCTCACCTTTGTGCCCTAAAAGGACCTAAAGACTGCGAAAGCTGAGCAGGAGTCACTAAGAAGGAGGAACTCCACCTGGGCACATGGGCTGCATGTCCCATGGCCTTGACCATCGAAGAGAGGCCAAGGAGTGGGGAGTCTGAGACACAGGCCCTCATAATGTGGTTCTCCTGTGCTGAGCTCACATCTACCCCTACTTCCACCCACATAGCACTTACTTAGCTAAGCAACAAGTAGGTGCTCCCAAGGAGAGACTATTTCAAGAGAGTGTTTTGTTTTTGTGTCTGTTTTTAATTTCCAGAAGTGTTTTAAACCCCTCTAGCTCAGAGGTTCCAAAGTGGTGACATGAATTGTATTTGATCTACAGACATTTTCTGCTTATGCTAGGAAGTGATTTTTGTTACTGAAGCCATCTTTAAATGATTAAGAGATTTTGATGAAAGATGTCCAGGTTTCCAGCTTCTTTTAAAATATGGGGAGATCTGGCAACACTGGGCCCAAATTCCTGCTTGGTAATAATTGGCTAGAAGCTAAGAGTGGCTGTCCCTTTAGAGGGAACATGTGTTCAACTCTCAATCAGCCTGCTGCAACCTTGCAAGCATTTGAGTCTGTGACACTTGCCTTTGGTTATCTGAGTTTTAAGGACACATATGTACCCATGTCAACTTATTCTTAGGGCCTTGTTATGGTATTACGATTTTTAAATAAAATTTTAATTTCAGAATAACTTTAGATCCGTAGAGTAGTCACGATAGTACAGAGAGTTCCCAAATACCTTTCATTTTGTTTCCTCCAATGTTAAAATTTTACATTAACAGGTACATTTGCCAAAACTGAGAAACCAATGTTGGTACATGACTAATAATTACACTCCAGACTTTATATGAATTTCACCAGTTTTTCCACTAATATTTTTTTTCACATTCTGGGATCTAATCCAAGATTGCACATTTAGTATGAGATGATTTTTAAAGAATGACCACCTTTTTATGAAGTTTTGGGCCATTTTAGTAACTACCACCTCTTGGGATGAATTTCAGAAGGGATTTCCCATTCTTCACCTCATAGTACTTTTTTCTTGGACAAAGTACTATTTGTGTCCCTGTTCAGATGAAAATCCATAAATATCTATAGCAGTTTACTCTTATGAACTGTTTATGTTTATTTTTCATTTGTAATCATTTGTTTATTTAAATGGCTTAGTTTATTACAGTGGTTTAGCTCTTCGACAAATATTTATTGAGCATCTGAACAAATAGGAGGAGCTGGGCTCAAAGGTAGTAGAGTATCTGTGGCCTGGGTTCAAACCAAGCAGAAACAGTACTTGAGCCTGGGTAAATTATTTAACCTCTTTATCTGTAAAACTGAGGATTGTACTACTACTAATATAATATAAAATATTAAAATAATAATAATATTATTATAATAATACCTGACAGTGTAATTGTAAGGATTAAACATGTGGCAAACCCGCCAAATAAATGGTATCTGATACATGATGAATGATCACTAAAATTTAGCTATCCTTATTTCTAAAGAAGTCATCCCTGCCCTCTAGTTGCTTACAACCTCAACAACTTTGATCAATTTTACTTCCATTTGTGAATTTTATCATGTTTGCTTGCCCACCAGAAAGAGCTTTGGAGTTTAGCATGTGAAGAAATGATTTTCCTTTAAAAATTCATTAAGAGCTCTGCCCTACACATCACACAAACGGTTAAGACTATCCAGGAAAAAGGAGTCGTCTCGGTGCTGGCAACACAAAGAGAGCTCCCACCACGCCGAGGGGCCAGGGATGTCCGTCCGCCTTCCAGGACCATTGCTCTCCCTCAGGCATGCTCTCCTTCTCCAGGCCAAATGGATGAGCCAGTTATAGTTTCCTCTGCTTCAGCGGTGGAAGCCCAGGGACAATGGCTAGGACTACAGAAGTTTCTCCAGCTCCTAGCAACTTTCCATTTTGGCAAGGCCTAAAATGTGTTTAACTTAAACTTCCCTAAAATAGACTCTTGGAGGGGGACCAAATCTTGAGAGCTGTTTTCTGAAAGTTCTCAAAATCTGGGAAAGTTGGAGGCAGGCCTGTTCCTACCAGAGTTTAGACAAAAATGCACTAGACCCCATCACCTAGTGGGAAGAGAAGAGCCTTCCGACATGGAAGAGTGCAGTGTGAACTGGGGGTGCTGAGGACCCACAGGGGTGACAGGAAGCAGCCCTCCTAGAACTTAGAAATGAAGGAGGTTGCACTGCTTGGAGAGAAAAACGGGCGAATGTGCTCACTGTTGCTACAGGACTCACCAGCTCAGAGAGTAAAATAAAGTGGCCTGCGTGTCCTGAGCGACAGGGCCCTGACGTTTAGCTAATTAATAATCACAAGCAATGCAATTGCTTTGTACTCTGCATGAGAAAGAGTCAGTAAACAGAAAGCAGATGGCTGACCAAAATGGCAGGAAGTATCACAAAGAAGCAGGGAGTTCTCAGTACTTATCCAGTCCTATCTGTGGAGATTCTGGGGAATGAACTTCCCTCTCACCATGCAGGTGGCACCACGGGACAGTGGTGGTTTTTCAGGCCACCAGCAAGGATTCCTTCATTGCCAATCACTTTACTTGAGGATGTGATCACCAACAATCTTCTGGTGACCGCTTTGTGTCTCTGGATCTTCCGGTGTCAACGAGGACTGGAGGCACAAGGAGGAACCCTGCTCCACTCCCACCTTCCACAGTCTCTAAGAATGAATAGTTATATAGTCTGATTTACATATTAATCTCTCATAAGTTTGGTTGGCATCAATCAGCTCTCCAAAGTCTCAGACACTCAGGAACACTAATAGGTCCCCAGTACGGTCGCCGGTTATTGACAAACTTGCTAAGATGAGGTGTCTTATCCTGGGAGGCCTCCAAGTAGGCATGCGCCCAGTTTCCTCTCTTCAAGCCTTTTTCTCACACAAATATGGGAGAAAGGAAAGTTTTCAGACACGTTGTGTATGTCAGGCAGGGTTACTCTTTCTCTTCCCAAAATAGCTATCCTAAATCATACTGGATCTCCCCAGTATCTTGATTTATGTTTCCCTAAGATCATTGGGTAGTGCACACCCCAGGACTGTGCAAGTGATCCATTTGGTATTGGAAGACAATCTAACAAAAGAAGACAATAGAAATTTTATGTATATTAATTTTTATCTATCCTTCATAATTTTCTATTTTTTGGTATATGTTATAAGGTATATACTAGTTCAGCACACCATGTGTACATACGTTGAGAGTCATGCTCAAAATTTCTTGCATAACTCTAAAATGTTTCTTGGAAAAAGGACATAAAGCCTGTTTAGAAACACATTTGCCTTGTTTTTCTAGAGCATCTGATCCAGTGGTCTCCCACTCTGGCTGTATATCAGAATCTCCTGGATACTCGACTGTAAGAAATCTATGTGGGGGGCTCTATCCCTCGCTCACTGAGTCGGAATACCCAGTGGAGGGGCTCACCAGTCTATGCTTTTGGCCAGCTGTCAGGAGATGCTTAGGAGCAGGCAGGATGGAAAGCTATTATAAGGGCCACTAAAGATAGGAAGATATGGTGGGCTTTGGCGGCACATAATAGCAGGGTTTAGGCTTCAGTCTGTGTGGAAAGTGGTGCCTTGGCATTTGCCTGCTCCCTGTTCCTATCTTCTGGGAATATTGTCTTCTGTTGGGTTTCCAGGGTGCCTGAGTTTCCCCTGCACCTGGTTAGTGAGAGGACAGCCTTCTCTGAATGGACCCTCACAGTGCAGAGTAGAGCAGCTCTGCTCTTGGCCTTGGATCTCCACCCTAAGAGAGTGATAGAAAAGACTGAGCCTTGGGAACAGGGCCAATAAACAAACAAACAAACAAACAAAAAGACAAAAAACTGTCAGCCGCTTGGAGGCTCCATCTCAGGCACCAAGAAAGACAGCGATGCTCTGTGTGGTCCAGGACAGCCAAAGTGGCCCATGACTAGGGGTTTTTGTAAACTATTTGGGCCAATTACAGTATGTATTTGGCCAGTCCTGACCATGTGTGTTTATCCTTGTGACCTCCTGGAGAGACAGTTTTAGGTAGACAAGATTTGGATCCCGGGCAAATACTACTCACCACACCTGATTAGATTGGGACAGCTGTATCTATGACCTCCTTTTATCCTCATAACAAGTAGGAGGTGGGTCTGGCATGGCACTCCCACTTTACACATCAGAAAACAGGCCCAGAAAGGCCAAGCGACTTGTCCAAGGTCAGGCACAGAGTCTGGGGTCATGGCCAGCATCAGCCCTCCTGACTTGCGTTCCACACCAACATCCCAGTCTTTGGTAAGTTAGGATGTGTGCTCCTTGCAGACAAGGTCCATATCATATTTACCTTTTATTCCAAGTACAGTGTCAGGCATATTGTAGGCATTCATTAAATATTTTTCAGATAAATAGAAAAACTACCTTCCCAGTGTACCTGGGTCAGGCCCTATTCTGGCCTTAGTCAAGTGAGAAAAAGAACTACAGACATCATCATTTACACCTCTACCTCTGGCCTGCCATGTAGACTAAAATTCCTACCCTTAGAGCTACTCTTTTGAGTTAAAACA